TTTGGTGGTTGAAATTATTTCTCACATTCTCTCACGAATGAAAACAAACATTCATGAATTCTCGCGAATGCTCAAAACGGCAACAACAATATTACGATATGAAAAGTTTGAATCAAATTAGACACACATTATTAACAAAATATTTGATTTAAAAATCTTGAACATTTGGAATTGATCTAGGTTTGGAAAATATTACGATGTGCAATATTGGATATTCCGTTTGCTTTATATGAGTTTTACAAATATTGAAAGTTTTGTGGTGGATGTATGTCCATCCTGTCTGTTATGTATGTCCATTCGAGTCTATGTCCATGTATTATGCCTATGGAATTCTTAAAACATGTTCAATGTGTTCAGCCAGGATATTGGGGCTGTTGAAAGGGACTTCCTCAATATTTCCTGGAAATGATATAACTGGGCAGTTATAAATTATGTGATCGAACGACTGAGTACTCTCTGTAGAGGTTTTCCATTGTTCGGTCTGTGGAAAAGCGGATTGGATTGTTTTGTTTCGTGGGTTGAAAAGAGGACTACTACGACCCGAGGAGTATTGAAATTTGAGGTTGTTCCCCGATTTTTGGTTTATTTTATTAGGTGTGTTTTAAACAAAAGGGTTCTGTCAAGGGTTATGGACTTGATGGGTTTGAGAACAGACTCATTGAGGTAAACTGTTAGTTTTCTTGTCTGCATCTATATATGTGAGGTGGAAGCAATATATTTCGTTTTCGATAGACTAGGTTTAATTATCCATCTATTCCAAAATGTGAAACTTTGGGTTTTCATACCCGCAGTTGAACATACACTTAAATTAGTCAAGGACTTTAGTCCGCATTCGAATGGAACATGTTAGAATAAACATCTTGAGATTGGTCTATTTGGATTTCTAAGAATTCTGGGTTCTTAGAGATGTCTTTCAGTCTCTTTCAGCATCATTTCTAAATGCCATTCACCGTTGTGGTTGGTGGTTCAGCTGTATTTTGTATCTTGAAGGCCTTCAAACCTAAATCCTTCCGCAAAATTTTGGAATAACTGTGCACCACTCGCTACAGTATATTTAACATTTTCTTTTCAATTTCTTCTTTATTTCAGATGGCAAAAGACGTATTATGGGTTTCATTTTAAAAACCGCTACATTAAGTGGTGGTGAGAAGCTATTACCCTATTTAAACAATACATCTTTGGCTCTTGAAAACCAAGTAAATTTTGAAATTTTACCCAAGCTAAGGAAAATATATGAAAAAGAAAATAAATCCATCAACTTTTCTCCGATTGCTTATAAATTTCCTCAAACTGTACCGGAAGAGTATATCCTCTTCGAGGATTTACAATATAAAGGTTACAGATGTTTTGGACAATCGGGTGGTCTTGGCAGCAAACAAATAGAAATTGTTTTGACAAATTTGGCAGCATTTCATGCTGCAAGTGTAACTTCAAACAAATTTGAAATGATTTCCGAGAAATCCTCAAGGAAAATGCCATCCATTTCCGACAGGATTTTTAAGGAGCATTTGCATATTTATAATTTGCTAAAATATGAAGACACAATTGTGAGTACATTTGAAATTAATACTGTAATTTTATAATAACTTGTTTATTCATTTCCAGAAATCTTTACAAACTAAATTTTTGGAGCCGCAATATTATTTCAATCCTCAGGAATTTCAGGTGCTTTCATTGGGCAATTGCACCCTGGATAATATGTTGTTCCATATGGATGCATTTGGCAATATTAAAGATTGTGTTTTCCTCAATATTGGTTATTGTTCGTATGACAGCCCCGCCAAGGATTTGTGGTATATTTTGCTGTCATCAATCAATACGGATGAGCTAATAACCAAATTAGAATATTATGTCAAATTCTATTATGATCAATTGACAAGCTTTTTGAAACAGCTGAAATTAAAGGGAACTTTGCTGAAGTTGTCGGATTTGCATTACGAAATGATGAAAAATAATAAATGGGGTAAGTATATTGTGGGTGTTTTTATTTCTTAATTAAATGTCTAATGTTGTCAAATCAACTGGTATTGGTGATAATACCCTTCACCACTTTGGGTATATTTAACAAATGTATGCTGTCAGACGTCACAATTTCGAAGGATCATTGAAATGAAATTGAATGAACTTAAATATGTGATCTTTAACTATATTTGAACTGACTTATAAGATTCCATACACTTGTTATTTTGTAACCTATGCTAAATTTCATTTCATTCGGGGAGATTAACATTTATGTAAATCAATTTAAAGCAAATTTGACAATCAGACATCCTTTGATTATTTGCTTCCCAATTAACATTAAGACATATATAGAAGCTATGCACAGTGGGAAAAAATACCGATCTAGCGCGCAGAAAATAAAAAAAATTAAGTTGAAGGAAACTTTAAAACATTAATGCAGTTTTAAAGTAGATTGTTGAGAGTACTTAAGTCCGTATAAAATAATCCGAATTAATAAGCTAGAACGGAATAACGGTACATTTAAAATAGAAATTTTTTCCAATGTTAAAAATGGTATTTTTTAGCTATAAAATTGCGATGGTCGTGTTCATTCTGTGAATATACTATTATAAAATTTTATCCATTTTTGATATATAGTATTGGTGTTTAATTAAATGGTATAGTTATATAACCCATAAGTTATTTTAATTTAGGTGTTTCGGGCTAAATATATGTAAGGTCCGTTTTTTTTAAATTTCTTAAATTGAAATAGGGGTTTAGTATGGAGTGCAGTCGAGTTCGGCGTTGATTTTTGTTTTTTTTCTTGTGTGTCTGTCTAGAACATCATACATAATTTTTTCCTGCGACTTCCTGCGACTCTCGGATTTATGGCAATTTTTTGAAAAAATGCCAATTTGGTGTAGGAAGCTTTTTTTAAGGTTTTGTTTAAATAAAATTAAAAATTTGTGAATTTCTTGATATAATTCATCAAATATGACTTGGAATAGATCACAGCATAGCAGATAAGAAAAAAACAAGTTCAAAATGTCCATCCTAAGGTTCCAATCTCATGCACTGAATATATATTTATTCTAAATGCCTTTCTAAATAAAAATTGAAATTACAACGAAATCGGTTGTAAGAGTCTTCTAAAATACCGCAGGTAAAGGGTCCACTTTATGAACCCTGAAAAATATCATTGATGTAACATTCATATATATATGGTTTTACCTACATTTATGGTTTTCGCTATAAGCACATAACAGCAAAAGTAATGAATGATTACAACAAAATTTCGTCTCTAACACAAACATCAACTTATACGAATACGGCCTGTCTACCTTACATGCAAGGATTCGATGTTTAGAATGTATATTGCACATTTCATACCGACTGGTTTTGAAAAAGTGGAAAATTAATAGCTCCGATGGGCTACTTTTCGAAAAAAGGAAGGCACGTATCATTAATGATTTGAAGGAAGAAATGCACATTATTGTTGACACACCTAAGTCAGTATCCGAAACAACAAACGATGGCAATACTGCTAGGCGTTTTTTAGCCAACCTGGCTTGGCATCGTCGATGACTGGTGTTGATGAAAAATCAATTAAAAATTTTAGTATCATCCTTTCAACAATGGCCTGTGGATATGCTATTAACGCAGAGTCTTTTAAAAAACTTACTGAGGAAACATTTATTCTTTTCGTGGAATTATATCCTTGGTTCTATATGCCTTCAAGCATACACGAAATATTAGTGCATGAGGGATCTTTTCAATAGGTTGCTATTTTCTTCTGATCCAAAAATATCAAGTTTGTCTCGTATTACATCTCTTAACCATCGATATAGTGAACCACTATCTGAAGAAGTCCTTAAACTACTGGAGGATCCAATGCTACCAAATAATTCGGATCAAAACTCGGAATCTGAATGTGATTAGTATTTAATAAGTAATGCCAAAATTTTATAAAATATATATAGTTTAATGTTTTAGATATATAATATGAACAATAATAAAGATACATATAATAACAATAGTGTTTGCCCTTAACCCACTTTTCGGAATTTTTAAAAGAAGCTCCCATTTTAGGAGTACTATTAGTTATAACGAAAAATTTTGCTTATTATAAAATGTTTCAAATGCTTCAAAACAGTAATTTTCACCTAAAAATTTAAGTTTTTTCTACAAAAAAAAAAAAAAAAAAAAATAATCGGCGCTTAATGGGTTAATAAAAAAAAATTGCCAAATTTTTTCATAAAATAATTAAAATTGCGAATCTAAATCTATTCTTATCCAAAATATCGACAAACATACAGTAAAACATCTACTTTTATTTTCTGCGCTCTAGATCTGCATTTTTCCCACTGTGCTATGTCTGCATATGCACCAATTTCAACAAAACGCTATAACGTTATTCTAGCCTCAATTTCATACGTTGCGCAAAATGTCGTGCCAATCGGACAAACATTAGGAGTTTGGTGCACCATTCACCTAAAATCGGACGAAAATATATATGGTAGCTATATCTAAATCTGATCCAATTTCAACAAAACTTGGCAGAGATTAATTTATATTAATGTGATGTCAGTCGGAATCTATATGTAAATCTGAGCTATATATCGATTTTCACCAATTTCAATAGGATTCGTCCTTGGGCCAAATAAATGAGCTCTACCAAATTCTATCCAAATCGGATCATATATGCGACCTGTACTTTGTTTACAATTTAACATCAACAGACGGAAAGTCGGACGAACATGCATAAATCGGATTAGAAAGTGATTCTATGCATAGTCTCAAAAGTAACCATGGGTCTAACACGTTTCCTTTTCCCTTTTACAAACATATGCACAAAGTCATAATACGTTGTACCACAGTGTGGTGAAGGGTATAACTATGTTAATTTCGCCCCGACTTTTTATACCCTCCATCGTGAGAATGACAATCAAAATATCTAAAATTATATTATAGGACCTTGAAATTCTCAAAATATCTAATAGTGAGCTACCGTTTCATTAGGCTATAATAAAACTGGGATTCATATTTATATATTGGTAGTTAGATATGACATCCAATAAGAATACAAAATACCAAATTACAGCCAAATCGGTTGGAAAACGTGTCCAAAATTCTGACCTGGGTCAATGTTAATAATTATTAGTGCGGAGATGTAGTGGTACCTTGTGAGAATACAAAGTTATTATACCCTACACAACTATGTTGTCATTATACCCTACACAACTATGTTGTCAGGGTATTATAGCTTTGTGCAGCCCCAAAAGTTTGTAACGCCGCGAAATATTGTTCCTCCACCCACCTTTAAGTATACCGATCATATCTCCACTAGCTGAGTCGATCTAGACATGTGTGTCCGTCCGTCTGTCCATTATAATTTGTAAACACAATTCAGGCCACAGTTATGAACCAAACTTCACGAAATTTTGCATTTAGGATGGGTTCTGCCCAATAAAGACCCCTATTGCTTTTGGTAAAGATCGCTTAATATTTAGGGAATGAAATGGACCAAATACTTAATTTTTGTCGGTTTTCCTGGTCGCTCTAGCGGCCACAATTATGGTCCGAACGTCGCGAAATTTTACAAGATGAAGGAAATCGGGCCAAAGAATATGCATGCCCGTTTTCATAAAGATCGGTCAATATTTAGTGGTTTAAATGGATCCCGACTTTTGTATGAAAAATGACAAAATTTGTATTCTATGGCGTATATTTTTACTCCTGAAGGACATAGACACGAAGAGTTGATAGTATATCCAAGAAGAGTGGTTGGCCTTTAAATCGATACCAATTATATTATCATATATACTCGGATGTGGGAGTTACACCTAAATATTCAAAGGTGCTTACGTATTCAGATAATATTTAATAAACCATTACCACACTAGCGCAGATCGCTTTGAAACGTTTCATGAGGTTTCAGTTATGGTCAAGGACAACGCCTTTTAGGTGATGAACAGATAATAATTTTGGGATGAAGTGGACCGACCCTCGGTGAAGGGAATCTGGTATATTTGTTGACCTCTAGTCGGCCAGTCGCGAAATATTGTCCATGCTCAGAATATTGAACCACACAAAGTTAGATTTTCGTGGAAGTTGCGTAGGGTATATGGTCGGCCCCGTCCGACTATACTGCTTTACTCACTGGTTATTATTTGTAAAACGTGTAAAAGATCCTCATATTGGCGGTACCATATTAGGTGGGCTAACCTTAAACGTTAATAATGTTAGTACCGTTATAAGGGGCCTACTCTGAAACTTGGGTCAATATTAATAATTTTTGGTACGGACATGTGCCATTCATTGAGAACCCAAAAACTAAATTACAGCCAAATTCGGTGGAAAAACGAAAGAAACTTAGCATCAAAAAATATATTTTTATGGACTAAAGTTGTACTGAAGTACATTAAGTAGCGCCCGAATTTAATGGAACGCAATTGACGATACATTTTGTATATGTATGCAATTTCACTACAGATTCTAGTGTTAAATTTGTTAACCACGATAACAAAGTCTTGTTAACCACGAAGTCAGGAACCAACGAACTTCTCAGTGAGGTGGTATCGCTGGTAACGTAAGTACTTCAATTTGTTACAAGAGACATTTGGGTATGAAAGGTTTATGGAAAGAAGCTATAAATAGCTTTTGGGGAGAATATCTCAACAAAATACTAAGGGAACTGATGAGGCTTGATACGAAACTATAGTCTTCCATGCTTACTCCTTGGTGGAAAATGCCATACTTTTCCCACTAATAAATTGTTGTTTTTTGGAAAACAACAAACTGGGATTAAGCCTAACTTTTTGCAAAAACTAATAATTATTTTAAAATGTGTATCAATTTGTTCATATCTGTATTATTTGGTAACCTAGAATGAAGTAAAGTTGCCGATAATAAATAAATGAATTATTCGTCAAATTATTTTCTACAATATATTTGTTATTTCATTGTCAAAGCATTATAATCTCATATCAATTTATTTTACATTGATACAAGTACGTCTGTTACTTCAAAGTTATAACGTGGGGAAAAAGAGTAGGGACAACAAAAAATACATTGTGATATCGAAGCAGTTTTGAGATTTGTAAAAAATATATGATATTTGATCACTACCGCCAGAAATCGTTAAAATCATTAAGAAAATCAAATAAAGACAGAAATTTCCGTAAATTCCATAAATTGTTTATTTGAAAAATAGAATAAACTATCTACCAAATATGTATTCGGTAGTTTTCCAAATAGAAAATCAACCTGAAAAACATCTAATCTATATGTTGATACTACTGAGGTATACGTCATTATAAAATATCACAGTTAATGAAAACGACGTGCAGGTGTCCTGATTTCCACAGGTCATCCACGTATGTGACTTGATAATACAATATGTACATGAATGTTTGATTTTGAAGAGACTTAGGTACTAGGAAACTCGAAAGGGCGAATGAAAGACGGATCATATTGAAGAATAAATGTTTATCTAGCTGGGAACTGTCAGGCATTCACAACAGTGAATGTTGCAAAAAAAAAAAAAAAAAAACAAGTGAAAAAGCGCTAAGTTCGGCCGGGCCGAACTTTGGATACCCTCCACCATAGGAATACTGACAAATTTTTGAAATGAAAATATAAGGACCATACAACGACAATTATACCAATCGATTGTTGTAAACCAAATAGAAATTTCAACAATTTCAATGGGGGTTTTCCCTAAAATCACAAAACCCCAACATGTCGACATATATTATTAACGCATGGTAGGGTGAAGCATGTGTATAAAATCCTGAAAATACTCCGATTTAGAGGACACATTTATATGAGTCATACTAAAGCGGGGCCAATAGTGACAACATTGTGTAGAAATTAGCGAATACTTGATGTTTTCATTATATAAGGGGTTATGCCTAATTAAGGCCAATATAGCTTAAGTTCCAAGCTAATATTTTAGTTTTGAATCCCAATGCCGTCCATCTCGCTAAATATTAAATTGGTAGGATGTTTTATATAGGACCTGGGCCTAAATGCGGGTCGATATAGTTCATTCTCAAACCTCACGTTCTAGTTTTTATGTCGATATCCTCCGATAGAAAAATGATTACAACATATGGCTAAATCGACTAAATCGTTGAAAAATTCCATACTATTTAGGGTAGGAACTAAAAATTTCGTCTACAGAATATCCCCATACTATGGTGGAATACAGCTATAAGGGGATAACCCCAACACACGGAACAAATCAGCTAGCTATTTTAATGTAAACAAGTGAAAAAGCGTTAAGTTCGGCCGGGCCGAACTTTGGATACCCTCCACCATAGATATACTGACAGGTACTTAAAATGAAAATATAGGGAAAATAAAAAAAATGAACATATTTCGACATTTCCACAAACCAGTTATGTAAAACACAATGTAAACTATAAAACAAATTTCAGAAATTTTTAATGGATTAATTTTTAATACACGGTTAAAATGGTTCTAGACCCCATGTTCCTTTGGACCAAATTTGTTTCAGAAAATTTTGATTTCATCCAAACTTTGGCCATCTTATAATTTCTTCCAAACTTAGTTCAAGTTTGATGATGGGGAATACGGGTCCACTCCTTCTGGTACCTCTCACGCAGGGGCTAGGTCTAACTACGGGTTATAGTTCATATATAGTTCATTAGCGAACCTTACGTTCTAGTTTTTTATCTCGATATCCTCCGCAGGTGATATGATTACAACAGAGTCTTAGAACCAAATCCAAAACGCGGAACAGATTGCATAACTATTTTAATATAAACAAGTGAAAAAGCGTTAAGTTCGGCCGGGCCGAACTTTGGATACCCTCCACCATAGATATACTGACAGGTACTTAAAATGAAAATATAGGGAAAATAAAAAAAATGAACATATTTCGACATTTCCACAAACCAGTTATGTAAAACACAATGTAAACTATAAAACAAATTTCAGAAATTTTTAATGGATTAATTTTTAATACACGGTTAAAATGGTTCTAGACCCCATGTTCCTTTGGACCAAATTAGTTTCAGAAAATTTTGATTTCATCCAAACTTTGGCCATCTTATAATTTCTTCCAAACTTAGTTCAAGTTTGATGATGGGGAATACGGGTCCACTCCTTCTGGTACCTCTCACGCAGGGGCTAGGTCTAACTACGGGTTATAGTTCATATATAGTTCATTAGCGAACCTTACGTTCTAGTTTTTTATCTCGATATCCTCCGCAGGTGATATGATTACAACAGAGTCTTAGAACCAAATCCAAAACGCGGAACAGATTGCATAACTATTTTAATATAAAAAAGGGGGTTATATGGGGACTACCCCAAAAAGGGGGTGCATATCAATAATTTTTTGTAGGGAAATTTGTTACCATATACGACTACAAAATACCAAATTTCGGGGAATTCGGTTGAAAAACGTGCTCAAGAACTTCAAAATAGCGAAAATTGGGGGTACCCTTATATGGGGGCTACCGGAAAAAGTGGACCTATATTTATAATTTTTAGTGGGGAAATTTGGTACCTAATAAGAACCCAATGTACCAAATTTCAGCGAATTTGGTTGAAAACCGCGCTCAAGAACCCTAAAATACCGAAAATTGGGGGGTACCCTTATATGGGGGCTACCCGAAAAATTGGACCTATATTTAAAATTTTTCGTGGAGATATTTGGCACCCAATAGGAACCAAATGTACCAAATTTCAGCGAAATCGGTTGAAAAACGCGCTCAAGAACCCCAAAATACCGCAAAATTGGGGGTACCCTTATATGGGGGCTACCAGAAAAAGTGGACCTATATTTATAATTTTGTGTGGAGATATTAAGTACCCAATAAGAACCCAAATTTTAGCGAATTCGGTTGAAAACCGCGCTCAAGAACCCCAAAATACCGAAAATTTGGGGGTACCCCTATATGGGAGCTATGCCTAAACGTGGACCGATGAAGCCCATCTTCGAACTTGACCTGCCTGCAGACAAAAGACGACTCTATGCAAAATTTTGGCGATCTATCTCCATTCGTTTAGACGCTAGAGTGATTACAACAGACAGACAGACGGACAGACGGACATGGCTATATCGTCATAGAATTTTACGCTGATCAAGAATATATATACTTTATAGGGTCGGAAATGATTATTTCGATGCGTTACAAACGGAAAAACAAAACTAATATACCCTCCATATGGTGGAGGGTATAAAAAGGGGGTTATATGGGGACTACCCCAAAAAGGGGGTGCATATCAATAATTTTTTGTAGGGAAATTTGTTACCATATACGACTACAAAATACCAAATTTCGGGGAATTCGGTTGAAAAACGTGCTCAAGAACCTCAAAATAGCGAAAATTGGGGGTACCCTTATATGGGGGCTACCGGAAAAAGTGGACCTATATTTATAATTTTTAGTGGGGAAATTTGGTACCTAATAAGAACCCAATGTACCAAATTTCAGCGAATTTGGTTGAAAACCGCGCTCAAGAACCCTAAAATACCGAAAATTGAGGGGTACCCTTATATGGGGGCTACCCGAAAAATTGGACCTATATTTAAAATTTTTCGTGGAGATATTTGGCACCCAATAGGAACCAAATGTACCAAATTTCAGCGAAATCGGTTGAAAAACGCGCTCAAGAACCCCAAAATACCGCAAAATTGGGGGTACCCTTATATGGGGGCTACCAGAAAAAGTGGACCTATATTTATAATTTTTTGTGGAGATATTAAGTACCCAATAAGAACCCAAATTTCAGCGAATTCGGTTGAAAACCGCGCTCAAGAACCCCAAAATACCGCAAAATTGGGGGTACCCTTATATGGGAGCTATGCCTAAACGTGGACCGATAAAGCCCATCTTCGAACTTGACCTGCCTGCAGACAAAAGACGACTCTATGCAAAATTTTGGCGATCTATCTCCATTCGTTTAGACGCTAGAGTGATTACAACAGACAGACAGACAGACAGACGGACATGGCTATATCGTCATAGAATTTTACGCTGATCAAGAATATATATACTTTATAGGGTCGGAAATGATTATTTCGATGTGTTACAAACGGAAAAACAAAACTAATATACCCTCCATACTATGGTGGAGGGTATAAAAAAGGTTGAGGAAAATTCCTCTGAGCATGTTACACTCTATTTTAGAATCGCCAGTAAACTATATTTCCATTTATAAAAATTGCAGTTTTTGTGCTGCATCAGTTATACAGTTTTTCCGGATATATAAATCCGTGCATATCTACAAATCCCCGTTGTAACCACAATTGGTGCATTTGTATTATTTATAATTTTAATACATGTCGTCATTTTTATCCAGCAAACAATTAAACCAATTCATAAAAAAATCTAAGAAACCAAACCAAACCACTCTCTATGTGGGTACATAATTTCTAAAGTGACCATTAAAAGAGACAAACATTAACCCTTTATTGCAATTTGTTTTTGTTTTTTTGCTGAAAAAATCATGGTGACAGAATTTACGCTCAAAATGAAGGAACAATTATTCAGGGGATCCCACCCATTCTCGAGTTTCAAACGGCTGGCAAACGAGATTACATTATGTTTAATACTTG